ATCATGACATGAATGTATTCTTTATGGTGATCATCATTTGATTAGATTTCCATTAATATTTTACATAACATGCACATTTTATCAACACTTAGACAGCTTCTGAAAGGTACAACTTTGAGGAGCCATAAAAAACAAACCAAGTGACCTAAATCTTTATACTTTATAGATTTGTGACCACAACGGCATGGGCAATGCACCACCAACAGAAAATTTGAATCAGAGAAGGGGCCGTTTTGGAAACCGGCCCTTTCTAGAAAAACTTGAAAAGCTATTGAATGTACGTAATTAGTTTATCATGGTAGCCTTTATGCCTTTATTATCCGCCATGTATATATGAATATGATACATATTGACCTCTTGTTACATACTTTGTATGTCTGAGAGAAATATAAATCTGAAATCTGTGACTTGAGTAAGAAACAATCATAACACGACTGCCCGACAAGGTCTGTGACTGTCCTTTGTGTTGAGTTAGAGTTCAGATTTTGGCAAAAGACTACCCGTTAACTGATGCATAGGCCAGCTCCTTCCTGTGGTAAATGTGAGATAATGTTAACTGATACATAGGCCAGTTCCTTGCTGTGGAAGATGTGAGATAATGTTAACTGATACATTGGCCAGTTCCTTTCTGTGGTAGATGTGAGATAATGTTAGCTGATACATAGGCCAGTTCCTTCCTGTGCAAAATGTGAGATAATGTTAACTGATACATAGGCCAGTTCCTTCCCGTGGTAGATGTGAGATAATGGTAACTAATACATAGACCAGTTCCTTCCTGTGGTAGATTTAAGATAATGTTAAATGATACATAGGCCAGTTCCTTCCTTTGTTAGATGTGAGATAATATTAACTGATACATAGGCCAGTTCCTTCCTGTAGTAGATGTGAGATAATGGTAACTAATACATAGGCCAGTTCCTTCCTGTGGTAGATTTAAGATAATGTTAAATGATACATAGGCCAGTTCCTTCCTTTGTTAGATGTGAGATAATATTAACTGATACATAGGCCAGTTTCTTCCTGTGGTAAATGTGAAATAATATTAACTGATACATAGGTCAGTTCCTTCCTGTGGTAAATGTGAAATAATATCAACTGATACATTGGCCAGTTCCTTTCGGTGGTAAATGTGAGATAATATTAACTGATACATAGGCCAGTTCCTTCCTGTGGTAAATGTGAAATAATATCAACTCATACATTGGCCAGTTCCTTTCGGTGGTAAATGTGAGATAATGTTAACTGATACATAGGCCAGTTCCTTCCTGTGGTAAATTTGATATAATGTTAACTGATACATAGGTCAGTTCCTTCCTGTGGTAAATGTGAAATAATATTAACTGATACATAGGCCAGTTCCTTTCTGTGGTAAATGTGAAATAATGTTAACTGATACATAGGCCAGTTCCTTCCTGTGGTAGATGTGAGATAATGTTAACTGATACATAGGCCAGTTCCTTCCTGTGGTAGATGTGAGATAATGTTAACTGATACATAGGCCAGTTCCTTCCTGTGGTAGATGTGAGATAATGTTAACTGATACATAGGCCAGTTCCTTCCTGTGGTAGATGTGAGATAATGTTAACTGATACATAGGCCAGTTCCTTCCTGTGGTAGATGTGAGATAATGTTAACTGATACATAGGCCAGTTCCTTCCTGTGGTAGATGTGAGATAATGTTAACTGATACATAGGCCAGTTCCTTCCTGTGGTAGATGTGAGATAATGTTAACTGATACATAGGCCAGTTCCTTCCTGTGGTAGATGTGAGATAATGTTAACTGATACATAGGCCAGTTCCTTCCTGTGGTAGATGTGAGATAATGTTAACTGATACATAGGCCAGTTCCTTCCTGTGGTAGATGTGAGATAATGTTAACTGATACATAGGCCAGTTCCTTCCTGTGGTAGATGTGAGATAATGTTAACTGATACATAGGCCAGTTCCTTCCTGTGGTAGATGTGAGATAATGTTAACTGATACATAGGCCAGTTCCTTCCTGTGGTAGATGTGAGATAATGTTAACTGATACATAGGCCAGTTCCTTCCTGTGGTAGATGTGAGATAATGTTAACTGATACATAGGCCAGTTCCTTCCTGTGGTAGATGTGAGATAATGTTAACTGATACATAGGCCAGTTCCTTCCTGTGGTAGATGTGAGATAATGTTAACTGATACATAGGCCAGTTCCTTCCTGTGGTAGATGTGAGATAATGTTAACTGATACATAGGCCAGTTCCTTCCTGTGGTAGATGTGAGATAATGTTAACTGATACATAGGCCAGTTCCTTCCTGTGGTAGATGTGAGATAATGTTAACTGATACATAGGCCAGTTCCTTCCTGTGGTAGATGTGAGATAATGTTAACTGATACATAGGCCAGTTCCTTCCTGTGGTAGATGTGAGATAATGTTAACTGATACATAGGCCAGTTCCTTCCTGTGGTAGATGTGAGATAATGTTAACTGATACATAGGCCAGTTCCTTCCTGTGGTAGATGTGAGATAATGTTAACTGATACATAGGCCAGTTCCTTCCTGTGGTAGATGTGAGATAATGTTAACTGATACATAGGCCAGTTCCTTCCTGTGGTAGATGTGAGATAATGTTAACTGATACATAGGCCAGTTCCTTCCTGTGGTAGATGTGAGATAATGTTAACTGATACATAGGCCAGTTCCTTCCTGTGGTAGATGTGAGATAATGTTAACTGATACATAGGCCAGTTCCTTCCTGTGGTAGATGTGAGATAATGTTAACTGATACATAGGCCAGTTCCTTCCTGTGGTAGATGTGAGATAATGTTAACTGATACATAGGCCAGTTCCTTCCTGTGGTAGATGTGAGATAATGTTAACTGATACATAGGCCAGTTCCTTCCTGTGGTAGATGTGAGATAATGTTAACTGATACATAGGCCAGTTCCTTCCTGTGGTAGATGTGAGATAATGTTAACTGATACATAGGCCAGTTCCTTCCTGTGGTAGATGTGAGATAATGTTAACTGATACATAGGCCAGTTCCTTCCTGTGGTAGATGTGAGATAATGTTAACTGATACATAGGCCAGTTCCTTCCTGTGGTAGATGTGAGATAATGTTAACTGATACATAGGCCAGTTCCTTCCTGTGGTAGATGTGAGATAATGTTAACTGATACATAGGCCAGTTCCTTCCTGTGGTAGATGTGAGATAATGTTAACTGATACATAGGCCAGTTCCTTCCTGTGGTAGATGTGAGATAATGTTAACTGATACATAGGCCAGTTCCTTCCTGTGGTAGATGTGAGATAATGTTAACTGATACATAGGCCAGTTCCTTCCTGTGGTAGATGTGAGATAATGTTAACTGATACATAGGCCAGTTCCTTCCTGTGGTAGATGTGAGATAATGTTAACTGATACATAGGCCAGTTCCTTCCTGTGGTAGATGTGAGATAATGTTAACTGATACATAGGCCAGTTCCTTCCTGTGGTAGATGTGAGATAATGTTAACTGATACATAGGCCAGTTCCTTCCTGTGGTAGATGTGAGATAATGTTAACTGATACATAGGCCAGTTCCTTCCTGTGGTAGATGTGAGATAATGTTAACTGATACATAGGCCAGTTCCTTCCTGTGGTAGATGTGAGATAATGTTAACTGATACATAGGCCAGTTCCTTCCTGTGGTAGATGTGAGATAATGTTAACTGATACATAGGCCAGTTCCTTCCTGTGGTAAATGTGAGATAATGTTAACTGATACATAGGCCAGTTCCTTCCTGTGGTAGATGTGAATTAATGTTAAATGATACATAGGCCAGTTCCTTCCTGTGGTAGATGTGAATTAATATTAACTGATACATAGGCCAGTTCCTTCCTGTGGTAGATGTGAATTAATGTTAAATGATATATAGGCCAGTTCCTTCCTGTGGTGGATGTGAGATAATGTTAAATGATACATAGGCCAGTTCCTTCCTGTGGAAGATGTGAAATAATGTTAACTGATACATAGGCCAGTTCCTTCCTGTGGTAGATGTGAGATAATGTTAAATGTCTTTGTTCAATTCGTGATAAAAAATAGTATTTACATCATTTTGTATTACATTTTCACATAAAAATTATATCTTCCCGTCAGTTAAAATAGGGGGCTCTCGCTCTGTTACATCACATTTGCATTTGTATCTGTAGCCTTCGTTCGATTTGGACATGTAATCCGGGGAATTATACCCCCTATTCATGATATGCTTGTTGTTGTATCTTTACTTTTAGCAATCATAACCAGTTTGTGTGCCTGCCGGGGAGCACCCCCTTTAAGTCACGTACATGTTTTAATCCTGGTTTGCTTTATGGTAACCTAACATAGTTTTAGGGTAGGTGACTATAGGAGCGTGATAATGCCTGTTGGGGATCGCCCTGTAAACCATGTTCTTACTTATACTTTGAACACTCAGGCACCGGGGTCGCTCGATGCCTGTTTGCAGGGCCGCCTGCTAGCTACTCGCTCCACAGCTTGGGATCGCTCAACCCTTGGGGATCACCCCACGACTTATTTTAGTCAGCAGCTTGACATCACTCAAGCCGGAGATCGCCCCATTTTTTCTTTTAAGTTAAGCGTGTTGTTTTAATTTCCTTTTGCTGTAGATAGATATGTTTGTAATCAACTATGTTGTAGTTAGATAAAGTAACAGAGCAGCCCCTAAGAATGCCAAGAGATAATTAATATAACCTGAATACGTTACTTTAAATTTAGACTCAATACATTTTTGAACTGCTATATCGTAACATGTGTTGATATATTATCATTCAGAAAATGTTAACTGTCTTTGTTCAACTAATGATGCAAATATTTAATTTATTACATTTTCACAAGTGAAATAGAATTATCTATTTGATAAAAATTATATCTTAATCTTAACATGTGTTGAAGGTCCTATGATGTCCTTCAATGAATTTATATTGAATTTAACCACCAGTATATAAGCAATATTATGATATTATATAACACAAAACCCGAGTAAAATGACATCTTTATTAGCGTCTGATTAATATATTAGAAGCTAAATTTCTACCGCCTAACCACGGGAGGATAACGCGCGGCGCGGTTAGCAGGTTCCTACGCACATGTATTGTTCTTCTTGTCTGTGGTATGGGTATTGAAACAGGTGTCATTGAGTCCAATTTGAGGAGAAATTGAAATGTTTTAAATTCTCTCTTTCTCTCTTGTTGCCTTATGACAGAGAAGAGCTACACACTTTCTTCATTTTTACTACTGCCAGGTCAGGGTTGGTCGTGAATAACTGGCTGAAGAATATAAAGTCTAATGAAGCAGCCAGCCGCCCAAATGAAGTAGTTTGTATGTTTGTATGGTCTTTTCTCCCACTGCATATCGAGAAGGTATATCACTGATAATAGTGAGAAATTCAAGTTTTAAAATCCGCAAACATTTTCAGATAAATGAGTTTCCAACGTTAAATACGCATGTAACGTGAGGCATAGCACGATGGTCTCACCTGAAACGAGTTAACCTATTTCAATTTCAACAAATGTTATTTATAACCATGATCAATTGGATTGAACATCAGGCTTAAAGCCTATATCAAGTTTTTTCCATATTACAATACATTTTATTCAAATAATATCCGGTAGAAATGGAACTTAAGTAATATACACTAAGATTAAGTTTATAACATTTGACTTATTATACTTTTTTGTAATATAATTTTGAATTTTGCAATGATATAAAAGTTTAATACATGCTGCTATATACATGTACAAATGCAGCTGAGGGATAAGTGCCGAATCAACCCCCGAGTGTCTGACTGTAAAGTCCATGGGATCTCTTCACGCTATAGTCTTCCACTCAGGAATTGATTGCACACATAGCTTCCAGCCGCACATGTAAAACGTGCATGTTATTTCTTCAAAGTTTACGAGAGACGAAATCCAAACAATATAAAGGAAATAAGATTTCATAAGTATATCAATTAACTATACATCTCACAAGTCATCAGTGTTCATCAAGGTGCACAGCTCCGCAGTACAAATTGTATAAATTGTCATATTCAATACCAGTACATGTAAACATACCGCTAGTTAACCTAATCTTTAGGTAAACATCTACTCACAAATCTAGGTACCAGGCAGATGTAGAAGTATGTATATAATGGTAATGTCATCTAGAGTTACATGATGTTAAGTTGACGAGTAAGTAAAAATAATGTGTGACTTTTATCAACCGCCATAGATCAATCAGTGTGTACGAGGTCACACAAAATCAGGTGTGACGTCACAGAACCCGCTATCATGTGTCCCTTATAGACAGAGGCCACAGAAGATGCTTTAAATTCAGTTCCCGGATCCCTGTACACCTCCACAACGTCTGTAAACTTTCCGGATAGCGTCTTCACCTTCAGGATCTGTGAGCGAACATAAATGCGGTTTTACATCATCATAGGTTGGGATTAAAAATGTATAAAAAACACTAGTTTATCCTAAAAATATAATATGTTCGGGGCCCCTGAATTATACTATTCCATTCTATTAGAGTGTTTTTATATGTATATGTATATATATCTAATACTATCTTTAATTTTTGTAATATTTATACAAAGGCACAACGAACGATGTGGTGGTTATCATTAGTCTCTGATTATCACAATCAAATCATATAAGATACACTGGTGTACCTTACAGTAAATTGAACAATTATAAATGTATCTGATGTTTATTTATTTTTTTGTAACATATATGTTTGCCCACTGTACCTCTACACTCTCAACACTGTAACAATGTGATAGTTTGGTTTAAAAATAACTACTGCAATTTATAGAAAATCCAACTACTGAACCAAGCCAAGGATTTAAACTGATCAATTACTTCTTAAACTGAGCTAATGACACCCTTGTAGGGGTTGTCTGTCTGTGATGTATTGTTTCCGCATTACCATGACATAAAGTATACCTATTGCACTGCCAATATTATGATCAAAGAAAAAAAATGTTTGATTACAGGATTAAAACACACACACACACACAAAACAACCAAAAACAGCCGGACAATACCATTGTGTCAACAAAACATCGAAATCAAAATCGATAAAACCAGGGCAAGTATCAGGCAGGACAGGACACATGTACATGGAAGCCTTTGTACAATGGGAATAAAACCAAATGTTTCAGAAAAGCTAAGCGTGATATTCGGAGCAAGCTCTTGAATATCAAATTAACTGCGACATGAAAACATCGGTTTTTAGAAAACAATGGATGTTATTATCAAGAAAGGGAAAGTTCAAAAACGGAAAATCGTCCCGCTTAGCGTACAGTTTCGTGATAAGCCGTCATGGCGGCCATGTTGCTCCGCTTAGCTTACAATTTCGTGGTTAGCCGTTATGGCGGCCATGTTGCCCCGCTTAGCGTACAGTTTCGTGGTAAGCCGTCATGGCGGCCATGTTGTAGTTAAGATCGAGGAAAGCGGTTAAAGTATAGTGCCCTTGAATTCAAGCTCAGGACCGATGTTGTCAATAAAAAAAAATGATATTTAAAGACAGCACATCAGCGATATATCTCTTAATGTGAAATTGAAGGACTTTGTTGCGTTATTATTACTAAATAACAGTCCTGATAAGCTCATCAATAAATACAGAATCATATCAAAACAATATACATTGGCCAGAAGAGGGGTACATTTGCTTTACTCCGGAATGCCTACAGTCTCCTGACATATCTTGCCACCGAACTCAACAAAGATATTGTCAACCGGGAACTTATTCTGATAATGTCATCCTCAGGACATTTTAACCGGGAACCTATTCTGATAATGTCATCCTCAGGACATTTCAACCGGGAACTTATTCTGATCATGTCATCCTCGGGACATTTCAATTTGGATTTTGCTCACAAATTTTGGTCCAAAATAAATAACAGCCATATATTTAAATCACCGTTCGAACAAATTTAACGGTCATTTATATTTCATCGATGAGATTTGACATTCGTTATCTATCACTTAAACTCTGAGATCTCATTGAACTTTTTTACAGTTGATATTGAAGATATACATGAATTAAAAGGGAAATAAATTAAGGAGAGATAACTGTGTGTTTGAAAAAATACGATGCAATTAATGTTTGTGTTTGGCCTGCATCAGGACAGGGATCCTTTGATATACTCGTCTGGAATAACCCTCAGAAATAATCCTTAATTCAGGTTTTCGCGTCATATTTTTATTGTTTGAATGGGTTTTAAATAGTAATTAAAAGCATTCAAAACAAAAAAGTTTGACTAAGAATACATTTTGAAAATATTTTTAAAAGAAATAAAATTTTCGAGCTTGACACCAACCATCACTCACTACGGATTGTAACCATCGTTTAACACGTAAGACAGTGGGTATCAGTGTAGAGCAGCACTTTAGTCAAAAGTACATCTGAGGTCAAATCTTACGATTTGAGTAACAGCGTGCGGTGACTGACGGGGGGACTGTTGAATTGTGAATGGTGCTATAGGGCTATACATATACATTGTAGGGGCGACAAAGGTAGTCATGGATGACATAAAGATAGTAACGAGAGGGGGAACTCCCCAATACAGACAGGGCTAACTGTCATTACCATATGGTACATCTAGTATTGTGTTTTGGTAGGAGAAAGTTAGATAAGAAGTTAGATCATAAGTGAGATTAAATTGTCGGACGTGCCTAATTATATATGTACAGATGGGGTGGTTCGGGATCATGAAAAGTTAATCAGATATGTACTATGAGTTTTGATAAAACGGACTAGCATGGGAAATTTAAGGATATGCTCCAAAAGACTTGAGAAAGAGAGTCTGCTCCAGTAGGGGCAAAAAAGACTGTCTAGGCGATAATGGATTATGAGAAGTGAATAACATTATAAGTCGTCATGTGATGTGGCGTGTGTTATGAACAGTCTACATGTGTTGTTCCGGGTGTTATGTAACAGTCCACATGTGTTGTTCCGGGTGTTATGTAACAGTCTACATGTGTTGTTCCGGGTGTTATGTAACAGTCTACATGTGTTGTTCCGGGGGTTATGTAACAGTCTACATGTGTTGTTCCGGGTGTTATGTAACAGTCTACATGTGTTGTTCCGTGTGTTATACATTATAAGTCGTCATGTGATGTGGCGTGTGTTATGAACAGTCTACATGTGTTGTTCCGGGTGTTATGTAACAGTTTACATGTGTTGTTCCGTGTGTTATGTAACTGTCCACATGTGTTGTTCCGGGTGTTATGTTACAGTTTGCATGTGTTGTTCCGTGTGTTATGTAACAGTCCACATGTTTTGTTCCGTGTGTTATGTAACAGTCTACATGTGTTGTTCCGGGGGTTATGTAACAGTCTACATGTGTTGTTCCGGGTGTTATACATTATAAGTCGTCATGTGATGTGGCGTGTGTTATGAACAGTCTACATGTGTTGTTCCGGGTGTTATGTAACAGTTTACATGTGTTGTTCCGTGTGTTATGTAACAGTCCACATGGGTTGTTCCGTGTGTTATGTAACAGTCTACATGTGTTGTTCCGTGTGTTATGTAATAGTCCACATGTGTTGTTCCGGGTGTTATGTTACAGTTTGCATGTGTTGTTCCGTGTGTTATGTAACAGTCCACATGGGTTGTTCCGTGTGTTATGTAACAGTCTACATGTGTTGTTCCGGGGGTTATGTAACAGTCCACATGTGTTGTTCCGGGAGTTATGTAACAGTCTACATGTGTTGTTCCGTGTGTTATGTAACAGTTTACATGTGTTGTTCCGTGTGTTATGTAACAGTCCACATGTGTTGGTCCGTGTGTTATGTAACAGTCTACATGTGTTGTTCCGGGGGTTATGTAACAGTCCACATGTGTTGTTCCGGGAGTTATGTAACAGTCTACATGTGTTGTTCCGTGTGTTATGTAACAGTTTACATGTGTTGTTCCGTGTGTTATGTAATAGTCTACATGTGTTGTTCCGTGCGTTATGTTACAGTTTACATGTGTTGTTCCGTGTGTTATGTAACTGTCCACATGTGTTGTTCCGGGTGTTATGTTACAGTTTACATGTGTTGTTCCGTGTGTTCTGTAACTGTCCACATGTGTTGTTCCGGGCGTTATGTTACAGTTTACATGTGTTGTTGAATGCGTTATGTAACAGTCCACATGTGTTGTTCAGTGTGTTATGTAACAGTCCACATGTGTTGTTCCATGTGTTATGTAACAGTCCACATGTGGTGTTCCGTGTGTTATGTAACAGTCTGCATGTGTTGTTCCGTGTGTTATGTAATAGTCTACATGTGTTGTTCCGGGCGTTATGTTACAGTTTACATGTGTTGTTCAGTGTGTTATGTAACAGTCCACATGTGTTGGTCCGTGTGTTATGTAACAGTCTACATGTGTTGTTCCGTGTGTTATGTAATAGTCTACATGTGTTGTTTCGTGTGTTATGTAATAGTCTACATGTCTTTTTCCGTGTTTTATGTAACATTCCACTTGGGTTGTTCCGTGTGTTATGTAACAGTCTACATGTGTTGTTCCGGGTGTTATGTTACAGTTTACATGTGTTGTTGAATGCGTTATGTAACAGTCCACATGTGTTGTTCCGTGCGTTATGTTCCAGTTTACATGTGTTGTTCCGTGTGTTATGGAACAGTCCACATGTGTTGTTCCGTGCGTTATGTTCCAGTTTACATGTGTTGTTCCGTGTGTTTTGTAACAGTCCACATGTGTTGTTCCGTGTGTTATGTAATAGTCTACATGTGTTGTTCCGTGTTTTATGTAACATTCCACTTGTGTTGTTCCGTGTGTTATGTAACAGTCCACATGTGTTGTTCCGTGTGTAATGTAACAATCTACATGTGTTTTTCCGTGTTTTATGTAACATTCCACTTGTGATGTTCCGTGTGTTATGTAACAATCTACATGCGTTGTTCCGTGTGTTATATAACAGTCCACATGTGTTGTTCCGGGTGTTAGGTAACAGTCCACATGCGTTGTTCCGTGTATTATGTAACAATCTACATGTGATGTTCCGTGTGTTATGTAACATTCCACTTGTGTTGTTCCGTGTGTTATGTAACAGTCCACATGTGTTGTTCCGTGCGTTATGTAACAGTCTACATGTGTTGTTCCGTGTGTTACGTAACAATCTACATGTGTTGTTCCGTGTGTTATGTAACAGTCTACAGGTACATTGTCATTGCACCATTATTTGTGAGAGTGAAAAGACTTTGCTCTCAAATGTGTATCTGCTCAGTAGCTATACTTGTATTATATCAAAAAAATGCCATCGCATATTGTAGAGATTTTAGATAAAAGTTGTCCATGTAAACAATGTACCTGGGAGGGTGCTGGAGATCCAACATGTTCATTCTCTATCAACAGATAATGAATAGGATGACAGCCCACCCACAGATCACCAGACACGGGCGCTACCTCTATGTTATCCACTAGTGTATCCAGAACCAAGTCCTGTTGATACAAAAACAGTAGTTATGTTTCCTTATTATACATATTGCAGTCAAGTTTTATGCTATGCGTTATGGTTTCCAATATCAAAATCTTCAAATAATGTGAAATAAAAGCATTAAATTTCTGATATTAGGTTTTCATGTGTACTAAAAAAAAAACTAACACTGTAACAGCATGCCAGATGTACAACACCAATACCTTACCTCCACGTGTTCCAGCTCCGTGTCCAAAATACGGTAGGATTTCAGCTGCTTCCTTCCGAATTCTGACACGTACAGGTACCTATCAAAATTATCATTTCGTACTGAAATTCCATAATGTCATGGAGGGACTATTAGAAAATGTCGAAACTCACAATTTATCTGTAAATGGAATTCAATAGACGTGATTAAAATTGCTCAGACTTTTCTTTTTTTCTGAAACATGGCATTGGTTTGGGCCACTGGTCTTTGGGTAGAAATAACAATATTCACAACGATTTTTTTTATTGATATCAGAGACAAACCTTTTCATAGTAAAAGTATCATATATGATGTTCAGAGCACAGTCACAGGTGATTTCACTTTTAAAATACAATGTATATAAAATATGCCAAAAAAGTCACTTTTTCAATATTGAAGTTTTGACATTGCATTACACTGAATCTATTTTCAAACTATTATCTTTACTGACAGGGTGTATCAAAGTATCTGTACAGACAGGGTTTATCAAAATATCTGTACTGACAGGGTATATCAAAGTATCTGTACAGACAGGGTATATCATAGTATCTGTACTGACAGGGTATATCATAGTATCTGTACAGACAGGGTATATCTAAGTATCTGTACTGACAGGGTATATCATAGTATCTGTACTGACAGGGTATATCAAAGTATCTGTACTGACAGGGTATATCAAAGTATCTGTACTGACAGGGTATATCAACGTATCTGTACTGACAGGTATATCAAAGTATCTGTACTGACAGGGTATATCATAGTATCTGTACTGACAGGGTATATCAAAGTATCTGTACTGACAGGGTATATCAAAGTATCTGTACTGACAGGGTATATCAAAGTATCTGTACTGACAGGGTATATCAAAGTATCTGTACTGACAGGGTATATCAAAGTATCTGTACTGACAGGGTATATCAAAGTATCTGTACTGACAGGGTATATCAAAGTATCTGTACTGACAGGGTATATCAAAGTATCTGTACTGACAGGGTATATCAAAGTATCTGTACTGACAGGGTATATCAAAGTATCTGTACTGACAGGGTATATCAAAGTATCTGTACTGACAGGGTATATCAAAGTATCTGTACTGACAGGGTATATCAAAGTATCTGTACTGACAGGGTATATCAAAGTATCTGTACTGACAGGGTATATCAAAGTATCTGTACTGACAGGGTATATCAAAGTATCTGTACTGAAAGGGTATATCAAAGTATCTTTACTGACAGGGTATATCAAAGTATCTGTACTGACAGGGTATATCATAGTATCTATACTGACAGGGTATATCATAGTATCTGTACAGACAGGGTATATCATATTATCTGTACAGACAGGGTATATCAAAGTGTCTGTACTGACAGGGTATATCAAAGTATCTGTACAGACAGGGTAGATCAAAGTATCTGTACTGACATGGTATATCAAAGTATCTGTACTGACAGAGTATATCAGGGTATATCAAAGTATCTGTACTGACAGGGTATATTAAAGTATCTGTACAGACAGGGTATATCAAAGTATCTGTACTGACAGGTTATATCATAGTATCTGTACAGACAGGGTATATCAAAATATCTGTACTGACAGGGTATATCAAAGTATCTGTACAGACATGGTATATCATAGTATCTGTACTGACAGGGTATATCATAATATCTATACTGACAGGGTATATCATAGTATCTATACTGACAGGGTATATCAAAGTAGCTGTACAGACAGGGTATATCAAAGTAGCTCTACTGACAGGGTATATCAAAGTATCTGTACTGACAGGGTATATCATAGTATCTGTACTGACAGGGTATATCAAAGTATCTGTACAGACAGGGTATATAAAGTATCTGTACTGACAGGGTATATCAATGTATCTGTACTGACAGGGTATATCATAGTATCTGTACTCACAGGGTATATCAAACTATCTGTACTGACAGAGTATATCAAAGTATCATTATCTGTACTGACAGAGTATATCAAAGTATCATTATCTGTACTGACAGCGTACATCATAGTATCTGTACAGACAGTGTATATCAATGTATCTGTACTGACATGGTATATCAAAGTATATGTACTGACAGGGTATATTAAAGTATCTGTACAGCCAGGGTATATAAAGTATACGCACTGACAGGGTATATCCAAGTATCTGTACTGAAAGGGTATATCATAGTAACTGTATTGACAGGGTTTATCATAATATCTGTACTCACAGGGTATATCAAAAAATCTGTACAGACAGGGGATATCAATGTATCTGTACTGACAAGGTATATCAAAGTATCTGGACTGACAGGGTATATATAGTATCTGTACTGAAAGGGTATATCATAGTACCTGTACTGACAGGGTTTATCATAATATCTGTACTGACTACTGACAGGGTATATTAAAGTATCTGTACAGCCAGGGTATATAAAGTATACGCACTGACAGGGTATATATAAGTATCTGTACTGACGGTATATCATATTATCTGTCCAGACAGGGTATATCTAAGTTTCTGCACTGACTGGGTATATCATAATATCTGTACTCACAGGGTATATCAAAAAATCTGTACAGACAGGGCATATCAAAGTATCTGAACTGACAGGGTATATGATAGTATCTGTACTGCCAGGGTATATCTAAGCATCTGTACTGACAGGTTATATCATAGTATCTATACTGACTGGGTATATCAAAGTACCTGTACAGACAGGGTAGATCAAAGTATCTGTATTGACAGCGTTTATCATAATATCTGTACTCACAGGGTATATCAAAGTAGCTGTACTGACAGGGTCTATCATAGTATCTGTAATGACATGGTTTATCATAGTACCTGTACTGACAGGGTCTATCATAGTATCTGTAATGACAGGGTTTATCATAATATCTGTACTCACAGGGTATATCAAAGCATCTATACTGACAGGGTATATGATAGTATCTGTACTGCCAGGGTATATCTAAGTTTCTGCACTGACTGGGTATATCATAATATCTGTACTCACAGGGTATATCAAAAAATCTGTACAGACAGGGATTATCAAAATATCTGTACTGACTACTGACAGGGTATAGTATATCATAGTATCTGTTCAATGTATCTGTACTGACAAGGTATATCAAAGTATCGGTACTGACAGGGTATATCGACAGGGTATATAAAAGTATCTGTACAGGCAGGGTATATCATAGGATCTGTACTGACAGGGGGGTATATCAAAGTAGCTGTACTGACAGGGTCTATCATAGTATCTGTCCTGACAGGGTATATCAAGTATCTGTACTGAAAGGGTATATCATAGTGTCTGTATTGACAGGGGATATCTAAGTATCTGTACTCACAGGGTATATCAAAGTATCATTATCTGTACTGACAGAGTATATCAAAGTATCGGTATTGACAGGGTATATCAAGGTATCTGTACTGACACTGTATATCATAGTATCTACACAGACAGGGTATATGATAGTATCTGTACTGCCAGGGTATATCTAAGTATCTCTGTAGAGACAGGGTATATCATAGTATCTGTACTGACAGGGTATATCATAGTATCTGTATTGACAGGGTTTATCATAATATCTGTACTGACAGGGTATATCAAAGTATCTGTACAGGCAGGGTATATCATAGTAACTGTATTGACAGGGTTTATCATAATATCTGTACTGACAGAGTATATCAAAGTATCTGTACTGACAGGGTATATCAAAGTATCTGTACTGACAGGGTATATCCAAGTATCTATACTGACAGGGTATATCATAATATCTGTACTGACAGGGTATATCAAAGTATCTGTACAGACAGGGTATATCAAAGTATCTGTACTGACAGGGTATATCAAAGTATCTATACTGACAAGGTGTATCAAAGTATCTGTAAAGACAGGGTATATCATAGTATCTGTACTGACAGGGTATACCCAAGTATTTTGAATCAAAATGTATCCAGGCGTCAATTTGTTTGAGCAGCGAAATTGCTTAGACATGCAATATTTCACACAAACGAAGTACCTTGGCTAACATCTTCAAGAAACATTATTTTAATGGCGGTATCGGTTAGGTGTCATGTTGTTCATTTACGACATCAGTGAAGGCATCATCTTCAAGAAACGGGGAAATAATATACGAGACTGACCCCGCTATCGACCCTACACTGGCTGTGCTTTACTACCTTCCCCGGCACTGACACCCGGCACTGACCCCCACGGTAAAAACAACAATTACTGACCATCTTACCACCACTACAGATTTCTACAACTGCCTTCCACTACTAAAGTTTCTATTGAACTCTTTACTGACCTTTTAACTTTATTACCCCAAGCACTGACCTTTGGTCAGGTGACACGTTAATACCGTTGGGCATGTGGAGTCCCTGTGCCACACTCCGGAAGTCACTGCCGTCGTAGTATAGAACCTCGCCGTACTTCAGCATCAGTAGCAGCTCCAGCGATTGATGATCAGGTAGCGTCAAGTACTTCGTAATGTAAAAGGTCCTGCTGCTGGTCATCACCAAATCATTCATACTAGGGTACAATTAAAAGATTGGTTTGCTCTGAATGACTTTCTCCATCACATAACTTTTTAAATTATTTTTCATTCAGCATTTAGATCATCATTTATATATTATACTTTTTAAAAACACTTATCGATACAAAATGTAGTTTAACTGAACACTTTATAAAATGTCAGTTCTTGCTCATGATCAGACAAGTGGGATTTACTGATTTAAAAGAAAGCAAAAACTCCAAACCTACCAATAAGGGTAAAGACTCCAAACCTACCAATAAGGGTAAAGACTCCAAACCTACCAATAAGGGTAAAGACTCCAAACCTACCAATAAGGGTAAAGACTCCAAACCTACCAATAAGGGTAAAGACTCCAAACCTACCAATAAGGGTAAAGACTCCAAACCTACCAATAAGGGTAAAGACTCCAAACCTACCAATAAGGGTAAAGACTCCAAACCTACCAATAAGGGTAAAGACTCCAAACCTACCAATAAGGGTAAAGACTCCAAACCTACCAATAAGGGTAATTGAACGTTTAAATTCTGAAAATGTTACACTTATCTTAAATCCATTTAAATCACCTTTTACAGCAGTAATATGGCAATGTTCTTCATGATTTACCAACTTTCTATTTCTGCTTTGATAAGATACTTTTAATTGACCTACATTGTTAGTTTCGAGCTTGTGATTGAGTCGACGTGAATCAGTGACTGGGAGGCTTCTCGATACGTAAACACTTCCACGTGAGCTTCGGGTCCACCATGGTTTATCACCATCAGAGTTATCTCCCCTGAAACAGTATATATCAATATTTAAACTATATCTTGTAATATCTGTCTCATTAATGGTTCAGAAAAAAAGATATCTTGTAAATCAATCAAATAACTAAGTTTTTACTGTCAACCACATACAGTACACTGGTAGATAAATATAAATATGATCATCTCGACTGAACTGTTCTGCCACACAGAAAATCAGAAAGTAACGCTCATTATCATGATTCCTGTGATAGACGTCTACTGCTGACAGAAACAAATACAATACGGAGTTTCCAAAGACCCTAACCCTAACCCTAACCCTAATACAACACGGAGTGTCCAAAGACCCTAACCCTAACCCTAACCCTAATACAACACGGAGTGTCCAAAGACACTAACCCTAACCCTTACCCTAACCCTAATACAGCACGGAGTTTCCAAAGACCCTAATCCTAACCCTAACCCTAATACAACACGGAGTGTCCAAAGACCCTAACCCTAACCCTAATACAACACGGAGTTTCCAAAAACCCTAACCCTAACCCTAATACAACACGGAGTTTCCAAAGACCCTAACCCTAACCCTAACCCTAACCCTAATACAACACGGAGTGTCCAAAGACCCTAACCCTAACCCTAATACAACACGGAGTGTCCAAAGACAGATGTTGATGAAGACTATGGACACGTTTTATGAACGTTATCATGAGAAGGCAATTTCTTGTGTGATATGAAAATAAAAAAAAATTGAAAATGCTCATTAATGTGCCTGCTGTTCTGTAGTACCTATCCCAATTCTCGTCATGAGGACCTGACATTACTTAGTTTTAATCTAGATTTACATGACGGGTGTCGTTGATGAAGCGATGATACAGTTAGCAGCGTACAGTTCCACAAAACAGACTAATCCAGGGGAAGGCAACTCGTGGTGTGATCGTCTCACCCATTATATTGTTCTACCACAGAGACAGACCAGGGGCAGATTACTCTCGCTGTGATCCACTCACCAGTTTGATTGTCCCGCCACGCAGACAGTCCATAGAAAACTAACAGTGATTGATTCATACTTGAACTGACAATAGGCAGTTCCTTCAGTCCGTGTGATGGGTTGGAAAAATTAAATAGAAGAATTCGGCCTCGAGTCCAAGAAAAACATCCCTGAATTAAAAAAAAAAATGATCGATGAAGCCTATAAACATCCAAAACTAATTTTGAATACATAATTTATTGTAACGAACGATTTTCAACGATATAAAGGGTTTCATCTGTAGTTTCCCTTTTTGATGTTTTTCATATAAAAATACATTATACAGATGAAGATTTTTTTTCACTTTTTTTGATATATTGGGCCACTGATCGATCCTAAATGAACGAAAATGCCAAATAGTATAATAGAAATTTACATCAGCTTTCTGTGTCATTTAACTTAATCTTTAAATCGTCTTTTTAGTTAGTATTATACTATACATATGTATATTATAGATTGTCTTTTACCTAGAGGGCGAGAACATTCGACCTACAAACAATACAAAGAAGCGAAATCGTCATTCAGAACAATACATACAAACGCGATTAACGATTATATGGATAAATGTGATAGGGAACTAGAGAGAACCGCAGACTACGATGTGAGACAATTCTGGAGACTAATCGCAAAACGAAATAATTAAGAATAAATACGAACAATGAGGTTTAATAAGGATAATCGCATGATTAGAAGTACAACTTTAAATCCTTGACTGTATTTACATACATACTATTTTAACCATCACAAAATATCAATATAATTGTACAGTATTATACATTGACATATGCCAATTGATACATACGATGAAGTAAGTGTGTTAAACATGTATGCACATAGAACATATCAGTACTAAATGTACTTTATTACCCTTCCTTATTATTTGATTTCGATGTAAATGTATCTCAGTTTTGAGGAAATAAACATATAATGATGATGATGATGATGATGATGATGATGATGCACACAAAGGTGTAAATATGTACGAGTTGTCCACAAAATCGATGTCGATTTCGATGTTTGTTTACAATTCCCAATTTGCTCCACACTATGCAAACACTATCAGGTACTGTGATATCCTACACACTTAACATCTATAGGCTTGTGCTATAATACCCTATTGTCTGTTACATTGATACTATATATAGTATATATAGATACTGTCATTATATATACAGTATAGTACATATGTATAAAATCTGGAACATTGTTACTATATATATAATACATATACATATAATACATATAGCCGAGGGGACTATTGGTTTTATTTAATAGCTATATTTTCAATTATAGTATATCAATTCTATCTTCTTGTAATATGATGTATATGTACATGTAACTGTTCTGTTTCACTGTGTCTTGAAAAAGGAGCGGATCGCTCCGAAAATTTGACAACCTAAACTTGTCCACACTGTTGGAATTACTTCTTTGCCCCATATATAATACATATGGATACAATCTCGTACATTGTTACTGTGTATAATACATATGGGTATAATCTGGTATATTGTTATTATATAGACTATGATATGGGTATTGCTTGTTACAGTGACACCCTACATACTATATATAATACATATGGGTATAATCTGGTATATTATTATTATATATATAGTACATATGGGTATAATCTGGTATATTGTTAGTATATAGACTATGATATGGGTATTGCTTGTTACAGTGACAGCCTACATACTATATATAATACATATGGGTATAATCTGGTATATTGTTATTATATATACTATGATAATGGTATTGTTTGTAAGAGTGACACCCTACATACTATATATAATACATATGGATATAATCTGGTATATTATTACTATATATATAATACATATTGATATAATATGGTATATTATTATTATATATACTATGATATGGGTATTGCTTGTTACAGTGACAGCCTACATACTATATATAATACATATGGGTATAATATGGTATATTATTACTATATATACTATGATATGGGTATTGCTTGTTACAGTGACAGCCTACATACTATATATAATTCATATGGGTATAATATGGTATATTATTACTATATATACTATGATATGGGTATTGCTTGTTACAGTGACAGCCTACATACTATATATAATACATATGGGTATAATATGGTATATTATTACTATATATACTATTATATGGGTATTGCTTGTTACAGTGACACCCTACATACTATATATAATACATATGGGTATAAACTGGTATATTATTACTATATATATAATACATATGGATATAATCTGGTATATTATTACTATATATATAATACATACTGATATAATCTGGTATGTTGTTATTATATAGACTATGAAATGGGTATTGCTTGTTACAGTGACACGCTACATACTATATATAATACATATGGATATAATCTGGTATATTATTACTATATATATATTAAATATTGATATAATCTGGTATGTTGTTATTATATAGACTATGAAATGGGTATTGCTTGTTACAGTGACACGCTACATACTATATATAATACATATGGATATAATCTGGCAAATTATTACTATATATATAATAAATATTGATATAATCTGGTATGTTGTTATTATATATACTATGATATGGTTATTGCTTGTTACAGTGACACGCTACATACTTTATATAATACATATGGATATAATCTGGTATATTATTACTATATATATAATAAATATTGATATAATCTGGTATGTTGTTATTATATATACTATGATATGGTTATTGCTTGTTACAGTGACACCCTACATACTATATATAATACATATGGATATAATCTGGTATATTATTACTATATATATATTAAATATTGATATAATCTGGTATGTTGTTATTATATAGACTATGATATGGTTATTGCTTGTTACAGTGACACGCTACATACTATATATAATACATATGGATATAATCTGGTAAATTATTACTATATATATAATAAATATTGATATAATCTGGTATGTTGTTATTATATAGACTATGATATGGTTATTGCTTGTTACAGTGATACCCTACACACTATATATAATACATATGGATATAAACTGGTATATTATTACTATATGTATAATACATATGTATATAATCTGGTATATTATTACTATATATATAGTACATATGGATATAATCTGGTATATTATTACTTTATAGACTATGATATGGTTATTGCTTGTTACAGTGACACCCTACACACTATATATAATACATATGGATATAATCTGGTATATTATTACTTTATAGACAATGATATGGGTATTGTTTATTACAGTGTTATACTGTTATAGTTATATAGGATTAACACTGCCATAGTTACATAGGATTAACGCTGTCATAGTTATATAGGATTAACGCTGTCATAGTTACATAGGATTAACACTGTCATAGTTATATAGGATTAACGCTGTCATAGTTACATAGGATTAACGCTGTCATTGTTACATAGGATTAACACTGTCATAGTTACATAGGATTAACACTGTCATAGTTATATAGGATTAACACTGTCATAGTTATATAGGATTAACACTGTCATAGTTATATAGGATTAACACTGTCATAGTTATATAGGATTAACACTGTCATAGTTATATAGGATTAACACTGTCATAGTTATATAGGATTAACACTGTCATAGTTATATAGGATTAACACTGTCATAGTTATATAGGATTAACACTGTCATAGTTATATAGGATTAACACTGTCATAGTTATATAGGATTAACACTGTCATAGTTATATAGGATTAACACTGTCATAGTTATATAGGATTAACACTGTCATAGTTATATAGGATTAACACTGTCATAGTTATATAGGATTAACACTGTCATAGTTATATAGGATTAACACTGTCATAGTTACATAGGATTAACACTGTCATAGTTACATAGGATTAACACTGTCATAGTTATATAGGATTAACACTGTCATAGTTATATAGGATTAACACTGTCATAGTTATATAGGATTAACACTGTCATAGTTATATAGGATTAACACTGTCATAGTTATATAGGATTAACACTGTCATAGTTATATAGGATTAACACTGTCATAGTTATATAGGATTAACACTGTCATAGTTATATAGGATTAACACTGTCATAGTTATATAGGATTAACACTGTCATAGTTATATAGGATTAACACTGTCATAGTTATATAGGATTAACACTGTCATAGTTATATAGGATTAACACTGTCATAGTTATATAGGATTAACACTGTCATAGTTATATAGGATTAACACTGTCATAGTTATATAGGATTAACACTGTCATAGTTATATAGGATTAACACTGTCATAGTTATATAGGATTAACACTGTCATAGTTATATAGGATTAACACTGTCATAGTTATATAGGATTAACACTGTCATAGTTACATAGGATTAACACTGTCATAGTTATATAGGATTAACACTGTCATAGTTATATAGGATTAGCACTGTCATAGTTATATAGGATTAACACTGTCATAGTTATATAGGATTAACACTGTCATAGTTATATAGGATTAACACTGTCATAGTTATATAGGATTAACACTGTCATAGTTATATAGGATTAACACTGTCATAGTTATATAGGATTAACACTGTCATAGTTATATAGGATTAACACTGTCATAGTTATATAGGATTAACACTGTCATAGTTATATAGGATTAACACTGTCATAGTTATATAGGATTAACACTGTCATAGTTATATAGGATTAACACTGTCATAGTTATATAGGATTAACACTGTCATAGTTATATAGGATTAACACTGTCATAGTTATATAGGATTAACACTGTCATAGTTATATAGGATTAACACTGTCATAGTTATATAGGATTAACACTGTCATAGTTATATAGGATTAACACTGTCATAGTTATATAGGATTAGCACTGTCATAGTTACATAGGATTAACACTGTCATAGTTATATAGGATTAACACTGTCATAGTTATATAGGATTAACACTGTCATAGTTATATAGGATTAGCACTCTCATAGTTACATAGGATTAGCACTGTCATAGTTATATAGGATTACCACTGTCATAGTTACATAGGATTAGCACTGTCATAGTTACATAGGATTTACACTGTCATAGTTATATAGGATTAACACTGTCATAGTTATATAGGATTAGCACTGTCATAGTTACATAGGATTAACACTGTCATAGTTACATAGGATTAGCACTGTCATAGTTATAGAGGATTAGCACTGTCATAGTTACATAGGATTTACACTGTCATAGTTATATATGATTAACACTGTCATAGTTACACACTATATATGGTATACGTACCGAGGAGATGAACGTCAACCCATTGTCTAACACTGTGAGATCTTCCGAGCCGCCATCTTGAACAAAATGTATACCATGTTCTGAAAATGAATAGCTTCAACTTTGTGAAACAGACGGCCACTTAAGTTCATATAGTGTTTGAACCTTATTAGCTCTAGCTTAGCATTCCTTATTTGTTAAAAGAGTATCATACCAGGACTTGTACCATAAGCACGTTTTATTATCTCCATGTAAGGTATAATCAACAGATAATTAGTTGGATAGCATCCATTTGAAAACTAGTAAATTATATATTCATGTTTTGTGTAATATAGCAAAATAGCTATAAATATACAATAAAAGCTCATATTCATTCAGGATTTTCCATTAAAGAGCTGAAAATCATTTTTATGTTCTTTGGTTTTGATGAATACACACATATATATATATATATATATATATTGTCATTTTCACTGTAATATAATGACAAAATAACAAAAAAAATAGCACAAATAAAAACATAGGTATGTGATAAGAGGAAGTATGACGTAATTGATTCAACGAACCTGGACCGCCTAATGGTCTACAAGGGCCGGGTCGGTGGTGAATAACTGTCCTGGTTTTATGGAAGTCCATAAAAAAACTACAAATTTAATAGGATTGACTTTTACTTGTCCACCAAAACCTTGAAAATTAAATATCATTGGATGATCCTTCCTCAAGTAAACTTGACCAACAAAACGGTTGAAATAACATCTTATCAATAACATATTATTACGTATGTATTAGAGTTTCACTATGACATGACAATTATTGTTGTATTTTAATATATGTCAAAGAAAACTTTGACCCAAAGAAAAGAAGTTTGTGATATGATTACCAATAATACTATCAACATTTCAGCCTTACCAGTACCGCACAGCGTGCTGTACCAACAACCCCGCCACTACAGTCAGGCCGAGACTTCGAAACATGATCAATTCAAAATCCTACAAGGAGGAATGGAGTAACATGAACAAATATCTCTGTTATTTGTTAATAAATGACATCTCATATTCTTCCTAATTCAAAAACGCCACTAGAAAATTCCACACTGAAATTTTTGAATGGTAATTTCTAATTCAGAAGTCTTGGGAATCAGATTTTAGAAATAAATGAAACGTTTTCGGAATTACTACTACTGTAAATATTTTACCCCATGGTTTGACAATATCATTTATGTTATTAAGGGATAGAGAAAACTGGTCAAAAGACAAAGGGATACGCTATTTCTTACTTCGTATGCTTATCTTTTGGGATTGTTGTTTTTGGTTGATACAGCAATGTTTTTCTTCGTCTTACGTCTTTTCAGGTATAATGCTTACTTAATATTTTTACATGAGGCTCTAACCTTCTGAGTTAATATATGCTGCTATGCAATGCTGTTTGACAAAAAAGTCTTCGGCACTGGACGGTAAGCAAAGTACCCAAGCCTGCTGATATCTTGAAAACATTCGAGTTTGATTTGATATTATCTTAAAACTCTTTCCATTAGGTTAATCCTAAAAAGTTCAGTCTTTTTATGGAGGAGGTGCGATCCTTTTCGCAAAGGCTTTGATAAGAGCTTCGTATTCTCGATACTTAGAAATCTCTATATCATCAAATATCCCTGTGTCCAACCCCGCAATATTAATTCTAGTAGTTACGATGACCGATACCAGCCTGACTCAAAAATAGAGTAAAATAAAGTGTCATGATGTTAGCATGACACAAAAAAAAGAAATACCATGACACAAAAAAATAACTAAAATAAATCTGTCACGATATTAGCATGACACAAAATAAAGAAACACTATGACACAAAAACATTAACTAAAATAAATGTGTCACGATGTTAGCATGACACAAAATAATAAAATACCGTGACACAAAAGAAATACCTAAAGAAAATACTCTCTGGTCGAAAAGGCCTTATCAATTCAAAAATGTTCGGAATGGTAATTGGTTACGTCAGTGGAATGTATGACCACAGATATTTCTATACCTAATCGAATCCTAATTATGCTTTCCAATGATTAAATTATGACAATGGTGACCATACCTCTTGTGTGATCACCTGTCTATGATAACCATACATCTTGTGTGGTCACCTGTCTATGATGATTGGTTCGGTTTGGTTTAGTATTGTTTAACGTCCAATCAACAGCCATGGTCACTTAAGGACGGCCTCCCCTGTGTGCAAGATGCATGCGTGTAGTGTATACGACTGTATATTTAACATAACATTGAATCAACTAAATCGTTTGGGACACTGGCGACAGGATGTTACAATAACACCCGTGTGATGCCACATACACTATATTACATGTATATAATTATTATTTGAAGGACTGTGATCTGAATATAGAGGCAGATGTATATGCCTGCATTCAGAATAATCTAAGTTAATCTAAGTTTAAAAAAAAGTTTGTAAATGATGACCATACCTCTTGTGTGATCAAATGTGTATGAGGACCATCGATTTGACCATAGCTTGATGTGATTAGCTGTCTAGGGTGACCATATCATTTTTGTAATCATATGTCTATTTGAGAACGCCTTTCGATGTGACCAGCGTTTTTTTTGTAATTGCCTGCTGTACTGCTAATTCTTGCACTTCCGTTCGACTACCAGACGGCGCCTTCATCTTTTCTGCCGAAGCATGCGCCATTGGTTTGGCCCTCGACCAAATCGATGAATACCGCATTAAAAAGGCAATCATATCTTCAGACTCTCTATCTCTCCTACAGAGTTTACAGTTACGAGATCCTAAAAACACACTCGTACAAAACCTTGCTCTTCGAATATCTCGTATCTTAAATAAGTCAAAAATAACTTTACTATGGATTCCGAGCCATGTCGGAATTAAAGGCAACGAATGGGTTGACCGGGAAGCAAAAAATAAAATGCATTAAATCTCCAACAAACAAATATCAAACTACCAAACACAGATTTTAAACCTACTATTCGTACAGTCATTCAAAATGAATGGCAGCAACGCTGATCTCGAGAGACCACCAACAAACTGTTTAAGGTACAACCGAAACTTAAAACATCTATTCCCAGTCGGAAAGATCGTAGAGAGGAAGTTGTTCTCGCTCGGCTCCGTACTGGGCACACATATCCTACTCATTCGTACCTTCTAAAACGAGAAGATCTACCTTCATGCCACGCATGCGACACTCCATTTACAGTGGAACATTTTTTAATAGAATGTTCCGATTTTAAACACATTCGTGATAACTACTTTCGAGTCCCGGATTTGAAAACTCTTTTCAGTTCCGTGGACTCGAAGGCAATATTTAACTATTTGAAAGACATCGGTCTATTCTATAGGCTCTGATGTCTTTTAACTCACTTTACCCTTTTTGAAGTTATATATATCACATATTCCATATCATCTATTCCTTATCTCTTTTATGATTTTATCTCCGCTAGTCACATGTTTGTTAAAAAAAAAAAAAAAAAATCACCATGGCCCTAAATGACCACAGCCGTCGATGGGCCGTTAAACATAAACAAACAAACAAATGTTTGTAATCACATGACTATAGTGACCATACTTATGAATTTGATCACCTTTCCAAGGTGACCATACGTATTTCGTGATCACCTGTGTATGTTGACTATACCCCTTTTTAGATCAACTAAATAACCAGTACATGACATGTGTTATCACATGTCTGTTTGAGAAAGATTCCCTATGTGATAATAGCTCTTTTGTGATCACCTGTCTATGCTGACCATACATCGTGTGTTATCACCTGACTATGGTGACCATACGTCTTGTATGATAACCTGTCTAATTGAGAAAACCTGTCAATAGGACTTTGTAGTGAACACGTAGTGAACAAGGTAGTGCATACGACAAAACTTGGTAGTGGACACTGGTTCACTACAGTGTCAACTCAAGTTCACTACAGTGTCAACTCAAGTTCAGTGCGGCGTTAACCTCAGTTCACTAACATGTTTACCCCAGTGCATAAGTACAGATGTTCAATTATTGCTTTTAATGAAAAAGGAAATCTGGAAATATAATTATTTAAGTAAGCCTGTAGCAATTGTATATAACATGACTATATATAACCGTACAGACTTCAAATCTGATTAAAGTATTTTGGGGACAGACAAGAAATTTCTGCCTGAGTATCAGTTCATCATATTTCATTAAATTTTCATGGAAAATTACCAAAAAGTGTCAGAAAATTTGAGAGAAAAAAAAGAATAACAAAAAATTCACATTATAAAGATTGTACATACATGTAGTTAACTAAATAAAGTTTAAATAGTTTTTTGTTTTTTTACATAAAGTAGTTACGTTTCATTAGTTCCTTTACAGGTACTAAGATATACAAACAATCTGAATCAAGAACAAAATACATTCCGGAATAATGTTTTAATCCAATTGGCATGTACTAGTACATGTATACATCATTGTTAAATAAAGACAGATTTCATTACTGGTTACATACTAAGTATATAAAAAGGTAAAGTTATATATAAATGAACTTGTGTGAATTGTGTTACTTATTATAAATCTGTTTTGTACTCATCATTTTTTTGAAAGAGCATGTTACGTCATAGGCGGAATTAGGGGTAGATGCTAGGGTAACATGGCCACCCCTGGCTCACAGATATATCTTTTCAGTGTGAGATAACTGAGACCACCAATTAACTTATCACCTGTGGTCACCTTGGGGCTACATGTATACCTGATCTTGAGTCAATGATTAGGCAATCCTTGTATGTCCAATGACGATGACAATGACAATTGTTTTATTCTCATGAACAATACAGTGTAGAGAATACATATATACAAATGGGTGACAATAATTCATGGTGGAACAGGATGGACATTAGTATTGCAAATTAAGTATGTCATTCATATCGGTGATAAATTTAGCCAATGATGTCAATTCATGTTGTGTTACATAATTGAATAGTGTATGAAATTTAAATATGTTTGGTCTTTCATAATAATATCTGGACATATATTTTCGTCTACTATATTGAGTATTGGTTGTTGTGTACAGTTAAACAGATAATGAAAATCGTCGCCAATTTCTCTTAAATTACATATATTACATAATCTATTTCATGTGGTGTATTGGAACATTTGCAATTGATAACGTAGTTTTGCATGTTCTGAATTTACAATACGATTTGGCTAGTTTCGGAGGGAGTTCTAGTAAGTACTTTTTCTATAATTGATTCCTTTCGGGGAAGTATGAATTTCATTTCTACATTTTGTTATAAATTTTCGTTTCAGTTTATAAAATATGGTACTCTTTAGCCAATGTATACTTGGAAACACTATTCAATATTGAATATCTTATCAAATTGCATTCTTCAAATATACTTTTCACATATTTCACGATAATTCATAATTTGATAAAATTGCTACAGGTTTATTACTTAATTTATTCTCGTTGTTTTTTTTCAGTTTAGCCCAAAATCCGACCATTCTTACTTTGACATTAATATCTAGCGCAAACTTTCCAAATTCTCCGTATATCATAAAGTTCGGGGTAGACGTTTGAACATTAAGTATGGGTTTGCAAAAAACGTTCGATAAGTTTATTGTCACAGAAGCCCCATACTTCACATCCATATAAAACAATAGGTTTGATGGCTTTGTCAAATATGTCTAGTTGACAATCTGTTCACAGATTATGATCCCTACATTTGGAAATAGCACCATACATTGCTCTTACACCTTTACCATACCGTTGTTTAATATTAAATTGTGTCAAACTAGTTCTAATAAAATAAAGCCCAAGATATTGAAAAAACTTAACTATTCCTATAACAGTACCGTTTTATGTAAAACTAAGGTCATCATGAATTCTTTTTCTACCAAATACCGTGATTTTAGTTTGCTGATATTGACTTTAAGATGCCATAGGTTGGAATATTAAAAAAATACATCTAATTGTTTTTACAAATCCTCTGCCGTGTCTGATAGGAGTATAGCGTCATCAGCGTATAACATAACATATAGCTTTACAGTCACGTGATTTTGTTTTGGTATAACCGTTCCATTACATATTGCCTCTTCGAGGTGAGCATAACCAAACTTGTTGTATAGCCGTTTGGCCTTTTCTATAATTTTTGCGAGCAGACTTGCAGTCTCTCGTAAACCAAGGCAAGATTATTGATACAATGACGTTGTTCAGTTATAAAATCTACAAAAACACATTTGAGGTCATCATTCCACTTTCTGGGTTTACTTGTATTATAAGTAACCCCAGTATTTAAATGATCATATATGTTATTACTATCCCACAAATGTCGACATATGTGTAACGGAATGTACATCGGATAACAAGGGTGAGAAGTTATTGATAGAAAATTCGTCCAATACCAAGTGTGTCAATGTTACCTTTTTACATGTAAAATTACCGATACCTTTATCCTCAACCATGCGGCCATTGAGTATAAATATATTACAGTGCTTACATAGGTCCAGTAAACGCTTACCATACTCGTTATTTACAGGGTCCTTAGATGACCTTTGTCTAGGTACATTGATATCAGTTAGGTCGTTAACATCGGAAAAATAACCATAATCATCACCTTCAGCTTCAAAGAAATCAGGGAGATCCGTAGTCCTACCGTTAAAGTCACAAAAGTAGGCAAATATACTTGTTATCCTGTATTTGGAAAGATAAAATATCTTTTTCCACATCTTCAAAAAGTTCAGACGAAGAATACTTTGAACTCCTGGGAGGTATATAAACTATTCCAAATATCATATGACCATTGCATTTAAAAACATCACCCTTAATTTTGAGCCACATAATGTGATTACAATCAATTTCTACAATACTTAAATGTTTCACATATTCATGTTTAGAGAAGACAACTATGCCAACAGATTTAATAGTGGACAAACATTTTCTGTGTTTACAAAATGCAGTATAACCTTCGATATCAACAGAATCTGCAGTATCAGTATTAGTTTCGGTAAGACATATTAAATCAGAATTTGACAGATACTCAATAAAATCGGTAAATTTGAGTTTACCTACAAGACCATTGACATTAATACTCAAAATTTTAAACTGTGTATTGTTGCTACAGTCATTGTGGACTCTCTCCGAAGCATATTATGCAGTTTTAACAAAAGTTAGTATACAGATATACAATGATGAGTACACAACAATAGCAGAGGCGTCTGGTAGTGGGGGCTACCAGTCTCTATGATAATCACTTATTTTCCTGAAACTGACTTGAACAAGTGTGCATGCTCTTTAGTATATTCAAAGTCGTCTTCCTTATCAAAACATGTGTCAAACATCAGGGCGAACACGATTTGTTCGCCATCAGTCGAAGTTCCCCCTAATTCTTTTTACAGACAGAAACCGTTTGCCCTAATAGTATTCCTTGGAAATATATATATATAAAGAAAACACCGAAGACTAAATAATAACTAGAAACTTGTTTTTGTGAACAAAAACATATGTCTCCTCTTATTAGCCAATAGACAAACTTTGGTATAAAAAATAAACAAAGGGCTTTATCTCTTTATATAGTGGGGCACGAGACCAGATGTTAGTGCGAGAGATTCCGCCTTCCAAAGATAATTAAATATGGTAAGTTTGGTCAACGTAGGTGAAATAACACGGAAGTTATGCCGTGGACAAACTTCGATATTAAAAATAAACAAAGGGCTATAACTCTGTATAAAGTGGGGCACGATACCTAATTCTATTGTTACTGCACACCTTCTTTGGGTGATGCAGGTGAACTTCAAGTTTGATCAAGATATCTTTAACGGTTTAGAAGTTATGCTGTGGACAAACTTCGATATAGAAAATTAACAAAGGGCCATAACTCTGCTAATAGTGGGGCACAAAACCCTATTTTAGTGCGAGAGATTCTGCCTTCCCCAGATATATACAAAAATGTAAATATGGTAAGTTTGGTCAACGTAGATGAAATTACATGGAACTTATGTTCCGGACAAACTTCGGTATTAAAATAAACAAATGGTCATACTTCTGTATATAGTGGGACACGAGACCTAGTTCCAGTGCACTGCACACCTTCTATGGTTGATGCAGGCATACTTCAAGTCTCATAAAGATATCTAAAAAAAAAAAGGCCCGTACAAGTTGCAATTAGAAGAATGAGAAGAACCAGAAGAAAATATGTCTCCCTTCATTCGAAGGGGAGACATAAGAGTTGTGTAGGCTAAACCCGCTATCGCTATACAATATTACATGTATATTTCGGATACATCCTTTAGAATCAGGCCATTTCTATAGTTTACTGCTCCATTTCAGGATACCATAAACTGAAGTACTCAGGGCTGACAAAAACGGAAATTCACGTGAAATATATCATTCGTATTATTAAATTGTTATATATGTAATTCCAAACAACACCTAATGAATTTGTGACGCATGTCTTGCTACTTTGTCCACCTAAAAATAAAGCTTGTAGAATAAGATGACCAAATACGATAAACCATATTTTGTTTAAGCAGTGATTAAAAGGATACTTACAGTATTAACTTGATAGGTATCATAAAATATTTTTCAAAACCATTCTCGTATTATATCATTCTTTATGTGAAAATAATGTACATTTCATCATTCAATCATTGGACATCATACTGAAGGTAGGATTTGATTAGGTATAAGCATTCCAAACATTTTTGAATTGATAAGGCCTTTTCGACCAGGGAGTATTTTCTTTGGGTAATTTTTTTGTGACACTGTATTTTATTTTTTTGTATCATGCTAATACCGTGACACATTATTTTAGTTATTTATTTTGTGTCATGATGTTTCTTTATTTTGTGTCATGCTAACAGTAGACCTTTCTTGACGATCGACCAGAACTGTGTGACCATTGCCTACTTTTATTTAGTTACAGACTATAGTGATCAAATCTGTATGCTTAAAATAAATACTGCACTAACACCTGTTTAGTTTAGTTTAGTTTAGTCAATTTACCACACAGTGATGATTGAGTACTCTTCAAGGTAAAGATTGCGGTACTTCATTTGGTATTCGGTACTTTCAATTGTTATACTCAATATTAGACAAGACCTATATTTTACACGTCAAAGTTGGTACAAATATATATGTTCATATTTTGTATTATTTTCTTGGCCCCAAAGATGTTGATAGAAATTCAACATTGTGAAAACATATATCATATTGCATTATTATCAAGGTTACCATGTTCAGTCGCTGAACTATTCCAGAACAAATACCTTTCATTTGTTGATATCGTGAGTAAACCGCAAAGCTTCAGAGCAGGAAAAGAAGGGATGCTTTTATGTCTGAGCTTCTTTATATAGTCAATGATAAACCGTCCAGGTGAGACTTGCGTTTTAAATGAATTACGTACTGCGTAATAAATGCATGTGTGTAAAAGCGAGGGATGAACTGATAACCCGGTGGTGACATTATTGGAAAGCAACGCATGTCTTCTAATCAATTATACAAAATAGCATTCAAAACGGTTTCCACCGAAGTCTGTAATGTATTAATTATCTAGTGAAACTTGTAACAAGTCAATCGTTTAAAAAATCAAAAACTAAAATATTTGAATGTGTTACCCTGTGTGAACTTGAATCCATAAGCAAATACTTATTTTAAAAAATCCCACTTTTATTTATTGTAACAAGTATGTGTCCATATAAGGCAGTAAGCGTAAAATCGTTTTATACTAGGAATGAAAACCCAACATGAAATAAACATAGACATACCTGGATAATGCTAAATGGACGTCCTTGTTTATTTCAGATAGAAGAATGACGCTTGCATGAATTAACACAAAGTAACAATATACTGATGTCAGACCAATCCTATAACTGAAACATTGTAAAGTATATAATCCCTTTGTCTTGTTCTTATTAGTTTTGATACTTTTAGGAAATGCTAGATGTGACCGAGCTCCCCGTACCACCGCGGTATTTAAGTATTCATTTTGATCTTAAAAAAAAACAATCCCAAAATATCTTCCAGAAATCAATAGTATTTTTCTTGAATATAGACGTGACAAGTCTTCATATTATATTTTGATCTCAGTTTAGGTTACTCCTACCCCTTATTTTGAAATAAAAAAATATCATTTTTTGACCAAGTTTTACTGATTTTACGACTGCTATAAAACGTTCTGATGACTAATTTATACTAGCGGAAAAAAGAAACTGTGCATGCGGAGAATTGTTATATAACATGTGTTACCAACGGTATATACATGAAAATGCACACACATGACCGAGTATGACACATACACACTATCCGTGTGTCATTGACAGTTTTTCCCGTGCAGTTTGCTCTCTATAGGCGTTGACCAGTTTGCACGTTTTTCTGGTCCAGCCATCCAATTCGACGATGAAAGTTTATTTTTCAACTGTTGGGTCACTCTGTTGAGACCAGTGAATAGTAACAACAGCATTATAACGTTTTAATTTGTGATTAATGGTATGGACCAAGCCGTTGTCTCTACACGTTTTCATGTCCATCGAAACACAATCCGGGATTTGTGGAGACGACATCAAGAGTTTGGCCACGTCGGCGATCGACCTCGTGCGGGACGTCCACGTGTGACGTCACTTCAACAGGACAACCATATTCGGCTTGTCCATTTGAGAAATCGCTTCCAAACGACAAGTTTGACTGCACGGACAATCCCTGGGTTGCTACCAATAAGCCCGAGAACTGTACGGAACGGATTGCGTGAACGAGCTATCCGTCCGCGACGTCCTGCAATCCGCCAAGTTCTTCTGCCACGTCATCGTGAAGCACCTCTGCACTGGTGCAGAAGGCATCTGCGATTTACTCGACGGGATTGGGCAGGTATTTTGTTTACGGACGAGTCGCGAGTCCACCTGGATAGTAGTGACCGGCCGTTCCAGAGTGTATCGTCGCGTCGGAGAACGTTTCCGTGACGCGTGTGTGGTACAACGACGTTCTTTCGGCGGAGGCAGCGTTATGATTTGGGGCGGCATCACAGCAAACGGGAGAACGCCTCTGGTGGTTGTTAACGGGAATTTGAACGCGCTACGTTACCGTGACGAGATCCTCCGGACCCACGTCGTTCCATTCGTGCAAGGGCAGCAACGTCACATTACGCTACAGCAGGACAACGCCAGGCCACACACAGCTCGTGTCGCTATGGACTTTCTGGCCCAGCAGAACGTTGACGTGTTGCCCTGGCCCTGTATCCTCCGATCTGTCGCCCATTGAACACGTCTGGGATGAAATGAAGCGCAGATTACGGGCATTACCCAATCAACCGATGACTTTGGCTGCAGCGTTGGTACAGATCTGGAATGCCATCCCACAAGCATTCTTGAACCGTCTGATATGCTCCATACGTCGACGTTGCCAGGCTTGCGTTCAGGCAAACGGTATTAACTTTGTGAACTCAGTATTGACCCCTGCTGTGTTTACGTCACTCCTGAACGGAACTTATTGATTCCATAACGTGAAAAATGGAATGCAACTGTTAATAAATAACAAATAAATTGTCCCTGAAAACCTTATTGTTCTACGTCATACACATTTATTTTTATAACACATTTTAGGCATGCACAGTTTCTTTTTTCCGCTATTATATTTTCTTAATATTCACTTGATTGAAGGAAATGCATTTCTCTTCTTTTAACAGTCATAGCAATTGGGGGTCCGTGTGTTTCCTTTTTTTGTTTTATGTTTTTGTTTATTGTGTTTGTGTTATTTTAAAATGTTTACAGGATAAACAAATTGGGTTCAGCTGATATAAATGATACAAAAAATAAATAAATTGTAAAACATATTATGTAATCAGCATGTATCTAGTTTTTGTCACGTTTCTCAAATGCGTGTTTGCTATGGAAATGGATGCTAATTTAATAAATTTAATAAAACATTTTTTACACTAGATCAAAACGAGATTTGAACGTGTTTACCTCAGAAGAGGAAATCCTTAACACATAAAAACAACACGTGATGTGATCATTTCTTTTGTTATATTGCAGCTGCAAAGCTTTAGAGTTGGAATGGAAGTAAAACTTAATCTGTAAGAGCTGCTTTATTTCGCCAGTAATCGACCGTTTGAGTCAATCTTGTGTTTTAATTGAATAGCTAATTACCCAATAAATGTGCCTGTGAATGAATGAGATTAATGATAACCTAGATGCGGTAAGCTAAGCAGAATGAACGCTTTTGCACTACATTTGAAATGGAAACAATTATTCATATTATTATGAACATTGACCCAATACTATTAAATGTCATTTATGGATTGAATCTTGCTTTGGTCGATTTCATGGGGTGATGGATTGAGTTGGTCTTGAAACAAATTAAAGAACTGCGAGTTCATGTTGAATTTGTTTCAAGACAAACTCAATTCATCACCTTTTTCAATAATTGGAACTTGTGAAAGGCCATTCTGATAGTTCGTCCCAGATTATGGAGCTTGTGCAAGTCTACGTATTGACCTAATGTAAAAATTAACAAAATGATGTTGTACGCTGATAGTTCTATACAACAAAATGATGTTGTACGCTGATAGTTCAATACAACCAAATGATGTTGTACGCTGATAGTTCTATACAACTAAATGATGTTGTACGCTGATAGTTCTATATAACCAAATTATGTTGTACGCTGATAGTTCTATACAACCAAATGATGTTGTACGCTGATAGTTCTATACAACCAAATTATGTTGTACGCTGATAGTAGTATACAACAAAATGATGTTGTACGCTGATAGTTCTATACAACCAAATGATGTTGTACACTGATAGTTCTATACAACCAAATGATGTTGTACGCTGATAGTTCTATACAACAAAATGATGTTGTACGCTGATAGTTCTATACAACCAAATGATGGTGTACGCTGATAGTTCTATACAACCAAATGATGTTGTACGCTGATAGTTCTATACAACCAAATGATGTTGTACGCTGATAGTTCTATACAACAAAATTATGAAGAACCAAACACATCAAAACAACATATTTTAAATTCCATGTTTATTTTTTGTTGATTAATGCATACGTTAAGATATTTAAAAAAAAAATATTACGCCTCGTCGCGGAATAATAATGTCTGGATGCGGTACGCAGGCTCATGGCCCTACTGTAGACGCAATTTTCGCTTTACAATCTTTAATTAATCGTACTTTAAAAAAGAAAAAACGTCTCTATTGTTGTTTTATAGATTATACAAAAGCGTTTGATTTTATTAACAGACAGAATTTATGGTATAAAATGATGAAAGAAGGTGTAGAAGGTAAACTTCTTAAAGTGATCAGATCATTATATAAAAGTGTGAAATGTTGTGTTAAATATAATGGTACTCTCTCCGAATTTTTTTATAATGATAACGGATTATTTCAGGGGAAAATATTATCACCCCTTTAATATAAACTTTATTTCATTCCAAATTAAGTTGCATTACATCACATAACATACAAAGTACAGAGGAATGGGATCCGGAAACAAGTTGAAATAACTTATATAAATCCGTTTCCGAGAATGTATCTCATTAATTTAGGGCATGATGGTATAGTTACTGAATTCTATGGAAAGAAATATAAACACTTAAAACAGTAGCTTACTTTTAAACATAGTTCAAGGGATATTTGAAATGAGAGTAAAAGAAAAGGGGTACAGGGGGATCGAGGGATATAGATGCCCGTGCCAATAAGAATAGAAGGAGAAGAAATAGGTGATGTGAAACAAAGGATCGTTGTATAATGAATAGAACTTAGTCAAATCTTTTAGAATGGATGATGAAGTTTTGTACAGATGAAAAAATTAAGGCATTTTCGTCATCTGTAAGCTCATTATTCCCGAACAAAAGTAAATCAGTTGAGAGTGGATGATTGATTTCGTTAAATGTATGTAACCGTAGTTGAGAAAAAAGACAACAATGTAATAGATAATGTTCATTGGTTTCATTTGCTTGCATGCAAGAACACAGAGGACTATCAATTAGATTTCTCTGGTATAGATAAAACTTAAGGGAACTACACTCCATTCTTAATCTAGCATGATGTATCTGCCCCAGTCTGGTACCATTAAAGTAGAAAATTTTAATTTTGTGAGAGGGCTTGCGTAGATAGGTTTTAAGTTTATAGATTGAAGGGTCGTTCTTGACATAGTCAGGCAAGGAGTTCCAGATACTGATGACAGATGGCAAAAAAGATTTATTATAGAGACTCGTATGACTAACTAGTGGACGAAAATTATTTCCCGTGCGAGTATCATGGTTGTGGTAATTACGGTTACGCTGAGGTAGAATATCTAGAAGATATTGAGGAGCCAGACCATGAACCATTTTGTGGAAAAGAATAAGCTTGTGCTGTTTACGTCTTTCCTCGAGGGGAAGCCAACCTGTTTC